AAAAAAAAATCCTCGTTCATGAGATCAGCGAAATGCTGGAGACAAAGATCAGAGACTGTGCAGAAAGTAAGTAATCTTCAGAGAAATTAAAATACATAGTACGACTACAGTCGACTATGCTTGTAGCGATGTCGTTGGGGGACCAGAAAAAAGATCGATACATCCGGAGTGCGCAACAGCTGTTGGAAGAAAAATTCAAGGGAAATAATCCCAGTACCCAACCTCACTGTAGTTGTCCTTCATGGCACTAGGCAAAGTGAGACAGAGGCAGTATCGTGTTCGCTTCGGCGTTTATGATATAAGGTTATCAATAGTATTGGGAGATAGATGCCTCCTACTATTGTGTGAATGTGCGTAACATTACAAAACATCATCGGGTTCAACAATGCTAGGTCAAAACTAACAGGGGGGGGGACATCATTAAAACCATTATATTTTTACTATAAACTATACGGGCCGGGGATAAGAATACGCATTACTACAGCTGTCACGACGGATGTAGTGAATTCGGTACAACCGTTTCAATTTCATTGAGTTTGTTTTACATCTGTGCCCGTTCCACGGAAAAAGATCGCTATGTCCAAAGATCTTTACAACCGACTTCGCTAAAAGTGGAGTGGACTCTAGTAAGAGAGAAACAGAGAGAGAGAGAGAGAGAAAGAGAGAGAGACAGAGAGAGAGAGAGACAGAGAGAGACAGAGAGACACAGAGAGAGAGAGAGAGAGAGAGAGAAAGAGAGAGAGAGAGATACAGAGATAGGAATCAACTTCATCAAAGTGAAAATTTTCTTTTATAATCCATTCTTCAATAGTTCCATCTCCACAGCCACAGCAAACCTGTTCTCTCACCTCTGCCCCCTCTCCCTCCCCAAAAAAAAAATTTTTTTAAAATTCAGAACACATTAGATCTACAACTCACAGCAGCCTCCCATATAAAAAGTACGATGGTTGTGACCACGTAGAGCGTGATGAAGATGGTGATCTTGATGTAGGCTTTGGGCTTGAGTCGGCCCCTCACTATGGTGAAGCCTTTGGCTATGAGAATCAGCATCAGCATGAAGATGATGTTGCTTGTGGCTTGAAGGATACGACCTGGGGAAAGGAAAACACAGTGATCAGAAGATACCATATATATATATATGTGAGGCATTGTGGTGAAATCAGACGCTCGTCAAAATAATGAAATCGAAGAAAGTGGCATTTTTCTGTCGGAACGGCAATTCTTATGGCATTTTTGTTTTTTGTCTCAACACTTTATTAGTCCATAATATCGATGTGGATTTTACTTTTACTGAAAAACTTTGATTTAAGCCATGAAAAATGTAAATTTTCTGTTTCAAAGACTCTCAAGGTGTGGAAGCTACCCAACTTCGGTGGCCATTAAAAAAAATATTGAAACCAGGTGACACCCCACCTCCTTCAATTACAAATATCTTGACTTCTATTCAACATAAATTGGTATTTCCTTTATCAAAAGCAAGACAAATGAAAAAGCTTTAAGTTGATTACCAATAACTCCATATGACCAAAAACTGACAAGTCTCTGATTCCAATATGATAATAATAATAATAAAAATAATAATTATAATTTTTCACACTTATAGCACATTTTCACAAAATGTTCAGTGTATTTTACAATGATACAAAGAACATGTGCATAATACAATTCGAATAGAAATCATTTCTCTCCATCTCTTACTCTCTCTGCCCCTCTCTTTCTTTTCGTCTGTCTATCTCTCTTTCTCTCTCTCTTTTTCATATGCACACTTTCCCTTTCACTCTCTACCTTGATCTTCATGAACAATCTACCCCCTTCCTTTATCCCTCTCTCCCTCCC